AGAATAATGACCGCGTTGTTTCTTTCGAGCATAAGATTCTCTTTCCTGTTTATTTCTTGATATTAATCGCTCATAACCAAGTGTGACTGGCATTTTCACGAAAAAATACCCCCTCCCCTCCCTCTTCAATTCCAAGAATGGAAACAAAAATATGTTCCATTTTCACGCTATATACTTTTTTCCAGCATTTACAAACATCAGATTATGGTGTCTATATTACTTATTACTTCTTAAATTATAGTTCTTTCTAATTATAGACATGTATACTGTATTTAAAAGATGTAGATAACTTTGAATGGTAAAACTATATTTCCATTAAGAATAAGATGCTTCAATTAGCACTTGACCAATAAATCGTTAAAGTCATGAAGAACATTTTTACTCCTACATGTTTCTAGTATTCGGTGGTAGCTAATTAGAAATCGAAGCATAATTTCAAAAATTCCAAATCGATTAGGTTAATTTTTAATTATAGATGAACATTATGTAAAATAAAATTATGGTAAATCAATATTATGTTCAAAATGAGTTATGACAAATAAATAAATAATTATGCCCACTTAAAATTATAACAAATACTAGTTTTGTCAACTTTACTTATGTTATGACAAATGAACATTATGATATTTGAGTTTTTTGGGGAAAATACAGGCGAGTCCAGGTCAAAATACATTAGGAGAAATGTAGTCTGGTTTCTGATTGAGATAAATTCTTTTTATCTCGCTGGTTTATAAATAGTTACCATTTTATTATTATTCTAAACATGAGATTGTGTAAAATAGTATATTTTCGGTTTTAGTGATTTATTTATTTTTGGTTATTATATATAACAAATTTTCGGTTATTTCGGTTGAACATATTTTTGTTTAAATGATAACATCATAATGAATAGTTTCACAAAAATGATTTTTCAATTTGTTAAAAATCGAAACTATTAACATATTCTATACGTGTGTTGTTATTTTTTGTGACATCTTTTTTTCGAATGACACAGGGGAATAGAACAGGTAGTTGTAAAGAAAAGTTTAAAATGACCCTTCAAAAGAAAATGTGGACACCCATCTTTGTAAGATCAACTTCACAAGGATTGAATTGTATATATTTTGTCTACTAGATTTAGTCAGAGTGTTAGAAGAAATTTTTTTACGACAATGAATATTTAATTTCTGTAATAGTTGAATCAAATATAACTATATCTTTTTAAATCTGAATCTCATAAAAGTTTAGCACCAATTTTCTGCTAAATAAGACGTATATAATCTTAACTTAAGTAATATAATATAATATATATATATATTGAATGAAATTCCACTTAAAGCTACTATGAACTATGGAATAAAATTTATCATTTTTTTTTATTTTTATATTATATCTTAAAACTACCTAATGTATGCGTGATTTATGTATAGCTTTAACGGCTTTAAAAATTAAATATGTAAGAATTAAATTTTTAAACCTAAATATGACGCACAAATTTGAATAATCTTGCGTAAACTACTGTATACATAAATAAAAATCTTTATAGAAGAAATGTCAACATTTAAAATTAATACTTTTTTGGATTTACTTATGATATACTTATTGAATGAAATGAATTGAAAGTATTTTTTCGTTAATTTAAAAGAAAAAATTTATAAATCCTGAAAATTAAAAATAGAAAACAAAAACAAAAAAAGACTAGTTTAAATTATAACCCACAAAAGTTATAATTTTCTAAACGTAAACAAATGAATGATTTATTTACATATTCAAAGAAATGAAGAATTGAGTTTGATAAAAATTGTTTTTTTGAGTGAAAAACTTTCATTTTTCAGCAGCTCTCTGATATCTGAATTTCAAAAGTTTCTCTAAATTGAGTGATATTGGCAGTAAACTTTACATGGCCCAACTCTGCAATTTCCATATTTGTATATTATATACATATATAAATATTATTTTACATTTCCCAAAGGAAAATTGTGTTTGGAAATCCGTTAGATTTGTCTGGGGATATTTCTCATTCGACAGAGAATGGTTTAAGGAATAAATTAGAAAAACTGAGCGAGCGAGGGCGGACAAGGTCTTATCCGTTTTCTTTGGGGGTGTTTTAAGGAAAAGTGTCTGCATTTGGTAGCACTCAGTCCGATCTCTTGGGAAATGGGAACAAAGAGCTGTAACTTTTCTTATTCGAAAATACACACACATACACTGAAAATAAATCACCCTGTGGCTATTTCTAGGGAAACATTTTGGATAAACTCATCTATTAGGATTAGTTTAATGCTGTTTGGACAAAATCTGTTAAAGGATTTTGGAATACATAGAGCATTGTATGATTGAAACGAAAAGGTTGATTGTGGTCAATATATGAATATAGGTAATATAATGGTAATGGGATTATACCTGCCGGTCACAAAGGGTTTACTTAGTACCTATATTATCTCCATTCATAATTCTTTAATATATCGGCAATGGTCATTTTCAGTTAATGTGTACTTTCAAAACAAATTTATATGAATGTAAACTTAACAAAACAACTTGAAAAATAAAAACACACAGGATAGAAAAAAACTTTACCACTTATTAATCTTTAGATGCATGTACTAAATTAATAAGTTAAAATTTAAATTAAATTTTTGAAGTTTAACTGTTTTCTTTTAATTAACGGTTTTTAGTAATTATTGTCTACACAATTTATTGATATTTTATTTAATTTAAAAAAAATATATTGTGAACGTTACACTTTATAATGTTCAATTATTTTTATTAATATTTAATTATTATTAATTATTATAAGTTTCCAAAATATTTATTACCTAATTATTTAATTGTAAATATTAGATTGTTAATAAGTATTTTCGTTGTAAAATATACAATACATTATTTATTTATATTTATTAAAAGTTTATACCACGGTGACTTGACAGAATAATGCCTGAAATTAATTTGTTTGAATTTTTATATGATAAAATTCTCATTTGGCCGAATTTTTATTTGCTTGAATAATTTTTAATAATTCTATCAAATAACAGTTCATATAGGCAATTAAAAATTCGGACATATGAAGATTCGGTGAATTGGAAATTCTGGTATTTAAAATTTTGAATCTTTTTAAAATTATGTTAAATGAGAATTTTTGTTAAATTAATATTCGATTAAATAAGAATTATTTAAATAAAAAGTTATGGTAAAGAAAAAAGCTGTACGAAAATCTGTTTAATAAAAATTGTATTAAAAAAAAATTCGATCTTGGTATATAAGGATTTTTTCTGTTACTATATTCGAATCTGGCATAAGTTTTCAAAAATTAAAAATGGAAGATTTTTTTAAAATTGATTGAATTCGCATGAAACCGAAATTTTCCAGAAATCTTTTCCTGTACGTTGATCATATGTGCCGTGGAATGAAAATTGGGATATCACTAGGATATTCCTTTTATTGTGTGGCCTAATTGACTATGATGAAAAAAGTTTTTTCATTGTGAAAATACATATCATGCTGAAGATAATTGATTAAGCGGAATGTTCGTTTTTATAATTAATTCGTTATATACGGCTCGATGGCTTTGTCCGCAACGGTTTCATATATAGCTATTCATCAATAAATTGACGAAAAAAATTAACGAAAATATAAAAGAGAGGGATATAGAGAGACATGAAAAATATATATACATATCGTATGTCAATGCAGGGATATAGTTTTATCGTGGAGAAAAGTACACGCTTGTTTAATTTGCACTGTGGGCATTTGGGGGAATGGGAAACTGGCGATAGTGTCTGCCAGTCGAATTTATTAAAACCCACCCATTCTTCCACCTTCCCCGTAGACTATTTCATGAATCTCCTGTACGTAGGGCGTTTTATCTTATACACATCAGAGCACCAGGACCCCGCATCGTTTCACGAGATAAAGATTTCCACGATAAAATTTTATGATGTTTAAAATAGAACACCCTCCACGTCTTCATGGACTATGCTATTTCACAATAAATTGAGTTCATACCAATCGATTTATATATATATATATATACGAACCTTTCCGATAAGCTTTCAAGTAATGAAAAGTTTCCTCATATCAAAGATTGAAATGCTTTGTCTTCTTTTGTATGACAAAGTCTACAAAAATGGTTATACATTTTTGTTTGAAAAAAATCTACAATTATTTCTTAAAGTTATAAATAAATAAAATTTTATAAATAATAGTGTGAGTTAAAATTTAGAAAAGTATTAAAAGCACCTGTTTGCTTACTTTGAACGGATATTATATTTCGATATCTAGGACATAGAACCTACACTGTTAAAAATTTTTGTCCAAAATTTTATACAAAAGTGTTTGAAGCAACTGACACACAATTTTGTTAATTTACAACACATTTTTTGAAATTTAATACAAATTTTTTTATTTAAATTTCAAACACATTTATTTAGAAATTCAAATAATTTTTTTTTTAATGTAAAAATTTTGAATAAAATTTCATACATTTTTGCTGGAAATTTCATATACTTTTATTTAAAATTTAATACATTTTTGTGTTGAATTTCATACACAAAAATTTATGTCTAAAATAACATACATTTTAATTTCAATTTTTCGCTATTTTGAATTAAGTAAATTAGAAACATACCCAAGTAGCACGTAATATTACACGATAATATTATTGTAAAATGTAATAGTAAAATGTCCACCTCATGGTTATATTACCGGTTAATATTACTGTAATATTACAAAAAATTTCAAAAAATACTTAAAAATATTTGACTGATTAATTCTTATCTTTTTGTGTTTTATCATAAAAAACTTTGAAATTTTTATGTATTTCGAATAAACGTGTAATATTACAGTAACATTATAGTAATATTACCATAAGGCGGACCTTTTTATATTACTGTAATATTACGTGGTACTTGGGTATAGTTTTAAAATATTTATTCACAATATGTATAGTTAACGGACTTAAGAATTTTACTTGAGTAAAAAATCTCAATAAAACAAAAATCTTAATTTATTTATAAACATTACACACCTTCATTAAAAATTTTCGATTTTTATATTATATACTATAACGCTTAATTCATAGTAAAATTTACTCCATCCTTTCTTTTGTTCCTTATTGCTAAATTTATATACATAAAACTCTGAAAAAGATTATAATTGTAATTATATTTTCATCATATAAATAATAATTGACCTAAACATTTATGTTTCAATTTATTAGATGTAAAGAAATAAGAGGAAAATTTTCTATCAAAGAGTACTGTACTATTAAAAGACCTTAAAGATATACTAAAGTATGATAAATGGAAATTCTATCAAATCAAAAATTATTATTATTATTTACCTTGATTGTAGTCCTTTAATTTACTTTATATAATTCACTTCTTTTAACTCATTTCACACACTATACAGCCACTGTAGGAATTTTCTATTGTTTTCAAGTAGATGTCTTCTGTTAGATTAAGTTTTCCTAAATATGTCTCCTGTAAAAACAACAGCTAATAATGAAATAGTAATCCTACTTGAGAACTATATAAATTTTAGTTATTGAAGGATAATATTTTCCCTATTTCAGTCAATAGGTTTTTAATACTAAGGCTCTCGTGTCCATTTTTAAGATACCCTTCAGGGTGTGTTCATAATTTAAGCGGAATCGCTTACTGAACTGATCCAAGGGCAGCGAGAGATATGACAGGACATATGGCGAAGGGACACAATTGCCCCCATGGACAATCATAACAAGCGACCAGAAGAACAGCACGGGGTGGTGAACATACAACAGGCTTATCCTTCTACCACCCCGCGAATCAAAGAAGAAAGGGGGGATGTAACGTCCCTATTTGTTGGATTACTGTATATGTATATATATAAATATATATATATACGTTCAGTGTTCGCTCACAATAAACTGACTGAATCTGACGAAATTTGCTATGGTTCCAGTCAGCAGGCACCACGACTGACGCGAATTGCACCTATAAATTATCAAAGCTGAACGTTGGTGGAATTGTAATTATTTAAATGCACCGAAGACGACGCGATGCATTGAAGCCTGCGTCAGAGGGTTAGGAAGCCTAACGTCACGAGAGAACCCAATGATATTTGAATTCCTTGCCTGTCGTCAATTCTCCTTTTGCCTCTGTCGCTAATGTTAATGCCTTCAACCTTTGACCTACTTAAAAATCGCATCCAAATAATGTGTTATATAAATTTATTCTTGTGATGTTAAATTCTTTTTTCCTCCACATATAATTAAATATAAAAAAAAGGTGGACTTAATTGGTAGGTTTTTTTAAAAGTATACATATACACAAAATTTATTTCTATACATTTATATTTGGAGAAAATTTAATTGTGATGATATATTTAGTAAGACTGACTTTGTTTGACGCAATTCTTTGTTTGAATAATTACTGTTTTTTTCTGTAATAAAAGTATGACGCAAGAGTTTTTTTTTAAGTATTTCACGAAAAATTTAAACTGCGATTGAAAGTTATATCTTTAGTATTAATTGATGTTTCACGTTAGTTTTCTTCTAATATTGTCATCGTTAAAATATCCATAAAATATTAGTAAATCTATTTACTGACAGTCAGAAACAGAAATCGTTTGAATAATTTAAACCTCATTCCATAATAGAGAATTAAAGACGTCTTCTGGATGGAAATAAAGTCCAATATTTCTTATATGATGAACGCATCCCATTTTTAAGTGTCAAAATTTTCGATAAATTCCAATAATAATTCCGTCTGTCAAATAGCCTTATTGTATTGAATTAAAACTCTTTACATATGTCTTTTATTGCTGACTGCTACCACGCTTTCTATTTTTATCTTCTATAAATATTTTTTAAGAAATTGAAATCCCAATTATTTTGATCCTTAGTGAAAGTTTCCCTTTTTCGAAAGGAAAAAGATTTTATATTTCTTTTGTAAAAAGTTATGGAAGGGCAAAATTCAATAGGACTTTATATAATAAAAGTGCATTCTTTAGGTACATAGAGATAGGCAGTAAATCTAAATCGTATACAATCTATTAAATTAGGCTTCACTTTTAAACGTTAGTGTCATATAAAACTTTGTAACAACGATCTTGGATATTCTGTGAAAATACGGGTTTATAGTAGTGATAAAAAAGCAGTTAGAAAATTCTATATACCTTGAGGTGGCTTTGTCAATTCTCTCACTTGTATATTTTATTCTCAACTGTATCTCCGGCTCTGTAGGAAATGATTATTCACTGAACGGCGCCGCTTGATGTCTGTGTGGTCATAATTCCAAACGCTATACTATATACTTCCAGTTTTACTGTGAATTCACTCAAAAGATAAACGAAAATGGCGCGAGAAATATTTATGATAACATCTGAATGGAGCGTGTCTCAATTTATTGCGGAGTAATCGATTGGAACTGGAATTTAAACTAGTTGAGAATTTGAATATGTATATAGATATCTATAATTGTTTCTGTATTTTAAACGACTAGGAGAAAATTTTTTTTCTTTTCTATTTCCACTTTGTATTATTCATCATATTTAATATACAATATATGTTTTAAAATATATATTTTATACTGAAAATAATTTAACGGAAGTCTGATTTCCTTAATATTTATGAGGTTTGGTATATATGTTTGAAAAAATGTGAATCATAATAAATACATTAGACAGTCATTTTTTATTTGACTCCTGCTGAGGGAAAAATTCGAGCACTGAAATTTCATAGTCCGATGTGACACTATACTCCTCCTAGCACAAATCTCAAAATAAATCTGTGCTACACAGTTCAACATTATATTATTTATATATATATATATATATATATATATATCGAACAAAAATAGTAGATAAATTTTAACCAAAGATTTTCTGATAGAGGATCTTTTTTTCTTCAGTTCAGACTTCCTTCGTTAGTGTTTTAGTACGTGACAGAATTGTTCGCAACAACCTGAAGTATATATATTCGAAAAGTAAGAAGAGAACGTGAATGGACTACTGATTAAAAAGTTTGTTTTCAAAAACGAAACTACTAGCAATTTCGTTTATAATAAAAAATAGTTATATTATTCCTCAAAGTAACACTTTTGTATAGACAACTGTATATTATTTATTCGCGTTCATTTATGTTCCAAATAAATAATTGCACATAAAATTTATTCTGAAAATATGAAAATAATTTTAGTTTATCTAAAATTTTACATTACAATGAACAGCGGTAAAAGATTTAATTGTTTATGATTGTGATGATGGAACTGTTAACCGTATGAATTGTTTCTTTTACAATAATCGTGTATCAGTATGTGTAATCAATTTATTCAGTGAGATGATATGCAATCCTTTGTGCTTGATATGATTGGTATTTAAATTATATATGTATACTAAAAAAAACTCTTCAATAATCTGATTTATTTTTCTACGCATGAGAAGGGACCACTTTGTCGATTTTATTTTAGGAGATAATCGCAATTTTCTAAAAGTGGTTCAGATTTTTGATTTTTTTTATTGTTGAAAATCAAACTACAAAGAGTTTCACTTTAAATTATGTACTTACGATAACTTCATTGTAATTAAAACAAATAATATTCTTATTTTTAATTTTTAATTAACATGGGAACTAATAATAGATTTGAACATCAAACCCGTTTTTCCAGTGTTGCCAGATGCGGTGAAACAAATTATGGACTCGACCTATCAAAATTATGGTACGCAGCGCGAAATTCAAATTTAAACTGAAATAAATTTTATGAATACGGTTACTCAAGAATAATTTTTTTTATTTTTATACATTTTTAAATAAATATTAATAATATACTAACAATATTATGCCCTTGTTAATAAAAATTTTTAAAGAAAAAAATTCAGTTCCGTAGATTTTCAAATTTTTAAAATAAATATTAATAATAAATTAACAGTATTATGCTCTTGTTAATTGATAGTTCTTAACCTAAAATATTTATTGGCAAAACTTTTAAAATTAGTTCAACTTGAGTTAAAAAGTATCTCTTAATCTAATATAAAATCTTAAAATTGAACAAATTAAAAATTCTAATTTGAATTAAACGTAATATCTCATGTTTTCTCATTTTCAAGCTGACCACTATAAAGGTGCTTTTATACCTCAAATTTCGATTATTTCTGGACCGTGAAAATGCGTGAAAAGTCATTTTCACGGCGGGTATTTTTGAATTGTTTTATACAAAAAATGTTTTCTTAAGAAATATAATATTAAATAATTGTTTTAATATGTAAGAACACTTTAAAATAGTGATAGAGAGATGATTTGATTAAAAAATTTAGCAAATTTTGCTTTAAAACGTTTTCTGCTACAAGAAAGTGTAAAATGACGATGTTTGTGAAATGGTTTGTACAGTGCTTCTTCCTTGTGAGTGTCTCTCAGAGTTTTGTTTATGTTATGTCGGTTCTTTTTAACTTGTAATAAATAATGAGTGCTGAAAATAAATCGGTAAGTTGAAATGTTTATCAGATAAATTTAAATTCAACTAATTGTTTCGAATAACTGAAAGAAACATGTACACATGTACACTGTACAAACCATTTCACAAACATCGTCATTTTACACTTTCTTGTAGCAGAAACGTTTTAAAGCAAAATTTGCTAAATTTTTCAATCAAATCATCTTTTTATCACTATTTAATTTAAAGTGTTCTTACATATTAAAACAATTATTTAATATTATATTTCTTAAAAAAAACATTTTTTGTTTAAAACAATTCAAAAATACCCGCCGTGAAATCGACTTTTCACGGTCCAGAAATAATGTTCATCTGATCGAAATTTGAGGTATAAAAGCACCTTTAAATGACTTATTTTCATTCAAATTTCTTGTTGTGTTAAGGCACTCTCACGCCTTTTTGGCTGCCTGCAGGTTACCATGACAACGCATGAGAGTGAGTGCGACAGAAAATTTAAAAATTTGAATATTCAAATTTTCTGTCTCACTCACACTCGTGCGTTGCCATGGTAACCTGCAGGCAGGCAGGCAGCCAAAAAGGTGTGAGAATGCCTTTACTCTAACAGAGCGTTCCTATTGGTTTCACGCCCTTTACCTTTAAATTTACGCTGTCATGTGATAGGACCTTTATATTTTTTGTACAGTGAGGGTACGGTTACACTGTCTCATGCATACACTGCGCATGCATGCAGAAATATTTGTCCGGTCACACTTCAACGAAATCTAGTGAATGTTTAGTAACTTTCTAGTAATTTTCCAAAAATTTCGGTAGTAACTAAAAAGTTACTAAACATTCACTAGATTTCGTTGAAGTGTGACTTGCTAAATGTTTCTGCATGCATGCACGATGCATGCATGAGATAGTGTGACCATACCCTGACGATCATCCACGCGGAATTTATAAAAAAACGTTCGATTTTTTTGAAAATAATGGCTGACTCAAAATTACGGTACGCGACAAACTATGGATGGTACATGGTAAAAAAGGTCAAATTATGGTACGATTACATAATTATGGTACGGTCTGGCAACACTGACGTTTTTCTCTAAATTAGGTTTTTGGCACGATATTTTTAATTCAGCTTCAACCATATCCCGTGTAGAAATTTTGCCATGGTTCGGATCGGGCGGGAATATGACGCTGCGCCTGATATGTCCCTAATTAGGAAACCCACATTTTCTCGTGGCCCTAAACAGTCCCTGATCGGGACCAGATAATTATTCACTACCATGGCCCTGGTAGGGAAATTTCTACACGGAATTATGCACACTGTAAAAAATTTTGGGAATTATCAACAACTTTTATTGGTGAATATTTCATATTTTTGGGGAAAATGTTTTCCCCAAAAAAATAAGTGATTGTTTTCCTAAATTTTGGTGAAAATTTCCTAAAATTCTAATGTATATATTTCCCCTAAAAAGAGTTGGTGAAGATTTCTCAAAATTCCAATGAATATATTTTTCCCCAAAAACAAGTGGTGAATATTCCTCAATTTTTTTGAAATCCTTCTTCAAAAAAGTTAAACTTTAAACTTACTTAAGTTACAAAAAGTTATTTGTAACTTGTAATATAATTTATTCATTTCATAGATAAGTTAATTATAACTTAACTAAATAAGTATTTTTAAGTAGACAAAAATTTATATTTCTAAAGAATTAAATTAAAATTTAATCAATATTTGTTTAACAGATCTTATTTTATTTATTATATAACATAAGTCACAACTATTTTCAACGTTTGTTTCCTTTTTTAAAGTTACAAAGCATGTTTACATAGTTTCATCTTATATATTGAAATTATCATTTTATTTTCATGAGCCTCCGTGGCGTAGTTAGTAGAGCGTTAGACTTCTAAATCTCTCCTAATGACGCTTACGTTCGAGACCTCATGATAATATTTGATAATTTTCAAGAAAACAAATTTTCATCAATAGGTACCAATAAATAATGTAAGTAAGATATAAATGCTGCATGAATCAAATTTTTAAATTTTTATTTCAATTTTTTAAACTATTGATATTAATCTTTGGGAAAATCCACTAATATTTATGGAATATTCCCTAAAATTTTAGGGAAAAGTTTCCCCAGAAAATTTTAGGGAATTTTCCACAAAATGCCCTGCAAATTTGCGTCACTAGAATTTTGGGGAATTTTAACCAAAAAATTTTTTACAGTGCATGTTTAATTCAAATTTTATATATCTTTGCTATATATTTTTAAGCTTAATTCAATAATAAGCTTCATAACAAAATAGCGGGAAATTAGAATAGAGAAAAGCTGGGTGAAGCAGCTGTCAACAATATAAAGATGTTCTGCATCTCTTTTACACTCATAGTCTAGTGACAAAACGCAACGCAAAACACTGCCATAGGATGGGACTGCAGCCTAATGTGTACACTCTTGGCCGTATATGCCTACACTTTTTTGTTCTTTTCTAAGTCACATGTTGTCATGATAACACGTGCGTTAGAAAAGGATAAAAATGTGTACGCACACGAGTGTACACCATAAGCCATAAACTATAAAAATTATTAAGATAGAAGTGTCACGACTTTTCAAAATGTCAAACAGTAAGGACAGCATTGGATGTATTATAATTTGCATTCAAACAAATAATATTTTTAAATTAAAGAGATAAATATTTTCCATTTGTGCCATTCCATGAGTTTTTTTTATCACTTTTCGAAGTAACCTCTCCAAAATAAATGAGAAATTTTTTTATAAAATTTTATTAATATAAAGATCCAAAATAATCACTTTTTAAGTAAAAACAATTGTTTATT